TAGTTCATTATAGATACGTCTATATAAAACATGTACTCGCTATAAGTATTAATAAAAAGCTCAGACCAAAGAGGTCACCTTAATACTGAAAAAAAAAAAAAGTAGTATTATGATAACAGCAATTTGTTGATCAGTTAAAATAAAATACCTGTAATTATGATTATACCAGCATGACTAGCAGGTTATAGGACATTTGCATAATGTTAAAATTATACAGAAAAATACAAACCAGCATCAGATAGTACAAACCTAAGATAAATCCTTATAGTTATATAAATTTATAAAACTAGAAAGTCAGAGTTCATTTAGGAAAACCTGAATAAAGAAATAGCACAAACCTTTGATAATACTACTGTAAAGACTAAATCTAGAAATGAATATTGATGTGAAAGAGATTAGGTAGGCAAAAACCTCAATAAGAAGTATCACCAACTAGACTGTCAGAAGTCTTAAACCAGAAAAAAAGATCATAAAAAGACAGACCTTTGGGATACTAGAAACCGATTATAGTTCTTTTAGACTATCTGAATTAGAAATCTGAGAACTAAAACAGGGTATAGCTAAATACTAGAAATATGCTATGAAGTTAATACTAGGGTCTAGATGAACTTTACAAGAACAAGCTTTGTTAACAAAAATTTAATATAAGTAGTTAGTTAGCAAAGAGGCTCTTAAGAGCTCTACAATCAGATAACATATTCTAAAATATGTAATAGCTTAACAGATGTACAGACAGAAAGGTTAGTATTAGGTTAGATAGCATTACTTAGATGTACAGAAACTTGTACACTATCTACTAGTATAATATAAGAGTTACTTTGTACAGTACAGGACAGTTAAAGACATCCAATCAATATATAAAAATGCCAATTTTGTTGCTTATATAACCAATTCTGATTGGCTGATTTTGTATAATTAATTTTAATTAGTTAAAAATACATATATGTTTTCTTTTTTTTTATATTAAACACCAATTTATTGAACTTATATAAACTTTAATCCTTTATAACTTTTTAAAACAAAGAATAAAAAAGAATTCTTTGACAGAATTGTAGTTTACCCAAAAATCTATTAATTTGTCAAAGGGTTTTTTGATTTAGCTCATTTTAAAAAAGTTATAACATTTTTAAAATTTTTATTAATAAACATTGGATGTCTTTAACTGTTCCGCATTGTACAAATTATATAATCATAATTGAATTTACAATAAAGGCAATAGCTACTAATAACTAACAGTTTTAGCAAAAACAAAAAAAAAACTATTTCATTTGCTTTTTATTTCAAACTTGTTACATTTTTAACCCCTTATTTATTAAAATATGAAATCAAATAGGTAATATTTCTTGTAAAAACATTTATCAATATTCAGCTATTATTAAGCTTAATAATTTTTCATATAAACTTTTAAAAAACAGACAATTTATTATAAATTAGTAAATAGAATAATTAAAAAAATAAATTTTCAGAGTTATTAAATAAAATACAATCAACTTCATTAATTTTATTAAAGATAACACAAGATTACTTTTGATATTCAGTTTTTAGCAATAATATAAAATACAACTTTTCTATATACAATAATCTTTTAAATAATAATTGCAAAGTCTTTTGCTTGATTCTTTAAAGCAATTAGCATGTTATATTTTAATAGCAATTAAATTTTTTTTTATTAAATTTTTTTTATTGATAAAATAATTTTAAAAAATAAAATACATTTGCATATTTTATATTTTTAACCGCATTAAATCACAGAATCAATACTAAATTACCACAAAATTACGCAAAAATCAATTTTATTATCACAGAATTTTGTCTTAACCAAAACAGTAAATCATTAGTTCTGTATCTAACCATTTGTTTAATAATAATATTAAAAAAAAAACAGATGTAAAAAATTATATCTTTCACATAACTGATTATCTGTGTACCACAAGTAGGATGAGTGGTACAAGCAGAGTTGTTGGTAAAACTGGTGACTATCTAAAATCTAATTGGCTGTCTAGTAGAACAACCAATCAGATTTTAGATAGTTATCATTCTTGGTGTTACCTTCGACACCAACTAATCCTAACCAAAATGTCACTAACTAATCACAAACAATTTCAACCAAAAGGAGAAATAGTAAATGCCTAACTGCGTGATTATATGGAGGATAACTGTTGTGTTCCGAATTCTTATTAGACAAAACCACATAATTTTATTGCCTAAGTGTCACATGTATCTTGCCGGCTTCTTTATACATGAGTGCTGCAAAGATAATTGTGAGTTTTCCGAAATTAATTTTATAGAAACGACTTATTCAGACACATGATTCACTGTTTCTGCCGACAAAAACCGAAATTACAGGTATAGCCCTAAACGCACACACGCACATTTATTTAACGTTAGAGTATTAATAAATTCGCGGATCAACCTAATCTTAACCAATTAGATGCAGATATGTACAGTATATTATGTATATTTTTTCTCAAAAAAAAATTATTTTTGTTAGAAATTTACTTTTGTTTTATTTATAAATATTTAAGTTTAAAACTTTTTATGCATAACTTAGTAAATTTTTTTTATCAGGTCTAAATTAATGACAAGTGATATTAAAATATGATATGCCATTGTCGTTGCGTCAATTATTACATAAGTTGAAATTTTCTAAATATGAAGATTTCATTGAGCATACAGTATCTCGCATTCAACATCGATACAAACAATTAAAAATATAGATAATAATAGCACGTACGTACGTAGAAGATAAAATTCTCTACTCGGCAATTTTGAATATATCTCTATCTAGTAATTTTAAATCGTGAATTTAAAGGTCAAAAGTTCATATTTATGGCCATTACGTTAAGGAACTTATTTATGTCATTAATATTATCCGAGTTCGTCGAAACACACGATTCAAAGAGCTATTCATAGTCAACAGTCTATTACTTATTTATAGTTAATGGCTTCGAACTGTTTAGTAGCCGAGCCCTGATGACTCATTGTAAGTCACATAAATATTGATACCACATTTTACACATAAATAAACCGGTAATTCAAACTTTTTTTCGTTAAACAAATTCTTATTCCTCTGATCCACAAAAAAAAAAAAAAAAAAATGTCGGATAAAATGATTGTTCGTGATGGTAATGGTATAAGTAATCTTTTTTTCAACACATTCAAGTTTATATAGTTTGTTGAGCCTTCTCTGTCCTTTCTAGCTCTTAATGAACTCGATGATAAACGTATTAAGCAAATTAAACCTCTTATACCGCCTCAAATTTTAATGGAGGACTTGCCTTTGACCTTGAAGGCGGCTCAAACTGTAATACTTGGCCGTACAAATGCAGAGGCAATAATAAAGGGTTTGGATGACAGATTACTAGTCATTGTTGGTCCTTGTTCTGTCCATGACGTTCGAGCCGCGATTGAATATGGTATTTTATTTTTATTTTTACTTTTACCTTCGACACGTCTCCCAGTTCGTCAATTCGACAAATTTTATAAATTACATTCAATCATAGCTGAAAAATTAAAAGCTTATGCCACCGAAGCCTCTAACGAACTTATGATAATTATGCGTGTTTATTTTGAAAAACCAAGAACGACCGTGGGTTGGAAAGGATTGATCAATGATCCTTATCTAAATAACAGGTCTGTAATCTTTATTAATGTCAAATATAAGATGAATTGGGTTAATGCAAAAAAAATATTTAATATATGGTTCAATTATATTTTCCTGAATTAATAGTTTCCAAATCAACAAAGGGTTGCGTATTTCACGTAATCTCTTGATGGAGATTGTATGTCATATTTTCGCAATAACTTCACGTGGCAATTGAAGTTTCGATAACTTGACTGACAAGTCTTTTCTATGTAAATAGAATGAATTAGGTATTCCGTGTGGCAGTGAATTTCTTGATACGATTACTCCGCAGTACATTGCCGATTTGGTTTCTTGGGGTATACCTTTTTATTTCGTATTTGCTTATTTATTATTTATTTATTTATTTATCATATGTGTAACGTATCATTTCACCGTTAGGTGCTATCGGTGCTAGAACAACTGAATCGCAGGTTCACCGTGAATTAGCTTCAGGTTTATCAGTTCCTGTCGGGTTTAAAAATGGTAAATTTGGCATGAAAATTATTTCTTAAATTTCCATATATTGGTTGGTTTGTCGTTCCGATTTAATACTTCGTTTTCTCCAATATTTGTAGGTACCGACGGAAACATTGGCATTGCTATTGATGCCATTAAATCAGCAAGTACCAAACATCACTTCCTTTCTGTCACTAAACAGGGTTTGAGTGCCATTGTAGCTACAGAAGTAAATATCCTTGCTTTATTATGAATTTCATTATTAACATCACTAGATTTCTCTAAATAATTTCAAAATAAATTATTCAGGGTAATGATTGTTGCCACATCATTATGAGGGGTGGAGCTAAAGGTCCAAATTATTCAGCCGAACATATTTTAGAAGCTGCAAAAAAATTAGAGGCTGCAAAATTAGCTCCTCGCATTATGATTGATTGTAGTCATGGAAATAGCCAAAAAGTTTTTAGTCGGCAAGTTGATGTTGTCAACGATATTGTACGTATATTTAATTTAATCGTAATTAATCGTTACAATTACATTTATTCAGTTTATGAAACTTTTGCTTTATTCTATTTTATTCTAAGGCGGAGCAACTTAAGTCGCAATCTGGCAACTATATCGTTGGTGTTATGGTAGAAAGTCATTTAAAAGAAGGTATGAATGTTCTAAAACATTGTTTTGAATTTACTTTTCGAATTTGTCACATAAAAAACTTTCTTTTTTGAAATATTCAGGTCGTCAAGATCTTCCGTTGGAAGGACCATCGGGACTTGTCTATGGTCAATCAATTACGGACGCGTGTATTAGTTGGGAAACCACAGTAAAAACATTGGACGTTTTACGAGAAGGTGTTATTGCTCGACGTACTCGTTCTATGCAAAATGGCAAAAGATCTCCTGCATCTTTCAATGAATAATTATTTTGGATATTAGATTTCATGGCCAAATTTTTAGGTTAATTGTTGTAAATCATCTAAGTTATATGTCTACAAAATATTTTTCCACAAAATCATTTGTACAGAATAGATTGCCATGGATTTATTATTTTTTTTTAATACATTCTATGTTATAAAAAAAAACAAATACAAATTTACAGAAATATTATTTCATTATTAAAACCATATTTTTATTCATTAATATATTTCTTCAATTTCAATAAAGCTTTTGCAGCTGCTTCTAGTGTTTCATCTGTTTTACAGAATGCAAATCGTGCATAATCCTCTCCAAGGTGTCTATTCTCTTCGCTATAAAATTCGCTAGGTGGGATAGCTACTACACCGATCTCTTTTGCCATCCAGTAGCATACTTTAAAATCTTTTGGTCGGTTGAGCAAGATTTCAGGATACTCATAGTCCTCCTGTCATATTTAAATGAAATTAGTTGCATATTGACAATGTATATAACTAAGTTAACCAGAGTTACAATTACCGGAATATTAATTCGTTTTGTATTAGCCAAAATAAAATAAGAACCTTGAGGGATAGTGTATGGAAGTCCCGCATCTGATAGTGCTTTACATAATTTGTCGCGTCTTTGTTCATATAATGCGATGTTCTCTTCATAATAGCCATGCGCCTCAGCTTCTTCAATTGATATTGCTATGGCCTCCTATTCGATGAATACATGGAAAAGATTAATGGTACATCATCGTAAAGTTCTTAAAGATGATTATGTGAATAAACAATACTTGAAGTGGTGAATTGACACAAAAAACAATTCTAGTTTGCGCTGCGAGTACAGTTTTTATTAAATGTTTAGGACCTATTGACCACCCGACACGCCATCCAGTTGTACCAAAAGTCTTGCCACCACTTCCAACAGTAATGGTGCGATCCCATAATCCCGGCAAAGTTGCTATGCGTTCATGGACATCAGGTTTATAATAAAGACGGTCGTACTTTCAAAGAATTTTGAAGTAATTGTAGTCAACCAAAAATATTTGTTATTTAGAAGAGCTAATGTTACAAAATTTGATAACTTACTACTTCGTCACTAATTAGTAACAAATTAAATTCTTGTACAACTTGTGCAATTTCGAGCATCTCTTCTCTTGAAAATACTTTACCCACAGGGTTATGAGGAGTATTAAACACAAGTATTTTAGTTTTCGGAGTAATTTTCGATCTTAATTCATTAATATCCAATTTCCAGTCGCGAGAGGATATAATCTTGTTTGTATCTCCATGTGGTCGTAATGGCACGTACACGGGCACACCACCGTTCATCGTGATGTTCGCCTTAAGTTCCAAGATTCATGAATATTATTTCATTAAAGTAAATGAATCTTATGAAATTTACACTTACAATGTATTGGTCGAAAAAAGGTTCAATCAATATAACTTCATCTCCATCATCCAAAAAACCCGCAAAAATAGCATATAATCCTAATAGTAAAAGGGATATAAATAAAATTTCTAGCAACTAATCGTTATAAATAATAGCACCTATATACTAACAAATATGAACCTTCATTTGCACCAGCAGAAGTAATAACTTCAGTTTCTGGATCCAACGTCCGGTCAAATAAAGGACTATATGACTTTGCCAAAGCTTCCCGCGCGCGTAATCTACCTTTCGGATGGCTGATAAAAGATACAATACCATTATAAGTAACAATATAATATAATACGACAAAATTAAAAAAAAACTAACCTATATTGATTGCAATCATTAGTATTAATGGCGCTTATTGCAGCTTTTCTAACAAAATCTGGTGGTGGAAAACTTATGTATATATAAACGTTTATAAAATGAGTTTAATTTAATGAAAAATAGGTCAAATCAGAACATTTAAAAACTTACTTCATGAAGCCTTGCCCTAAATTCACAGCTTTGAGTTGCGCAGCCAATGGCGTAAAAATGGACCATACTTTATGATTGTAAAAATAAAATTTAATAACATGGTTAAAATACATTGAAAAAATCTCATACTGTATTCGAGCAAATATAATTGTTGAATTAGTGTGAATAACTAAATTCCGGTCAAAATTGAATAATTCACGAATCTATTTCTTACCGTCTTGTTTGAAATGTGCAACTCTCTCAGCCACTTTAATAGGACCACTTTCATACTTTAGATGTGACATATTGCGAAGTTGTAATAATCGTAAGGTTATTGAATTTATTTTAAAAGCATTCGAAAACTTTACAATATTAAACCGAGGAATCATTTTTAGATTGTACTTCACTTTTAACATTTTTGTTATAACAATTGATGGCACGTGACTCACGGATGTCGTGCAAGTGTCAGAAAGGAGTCATAAAAAGACGCGTCATAAAAATTTAGTGCGAAACAACCTTTTTCTTCCGCTTATGACACGATTGCAAAAAAAACTTTTTTTCAAGCACCAATACTACTGCCAACATGTTTCTTTTCCGAACGACGGTACGACTTAATAGAACGTCTTTTGCAGGAAGGCTTGAAGTGTTACATTATCAAGATATGGGCTGCCGTCAATAGAAATCAAGCAGATTTGACATTTTAAAAAAAATTAATGCCCTAACTTTTCGTTATTTATATCAATGAATTTCGAAGCTATTCTCATTATTGAATAGTCAAAATAAAACTTATATCTTTAGCTTTCTTTTAACTATTCATTCATGAGAATAGCTTCGAAATTCATCGAGCTATAAGCAATGAAAATTAAGACATTAATTTTTTTTAAATTGTTAATATGCTTGATTTCTATTGACGGCAACCCGTATGCTTACCTTCCAGACTTTTCACACAATTATATTTTTTTTATGTTGGTGATAAAACTAGAAAGAAAATGTCTATAGCATTTCTATAATTTGAAGTAGAAATGCTCCGTTATATGTAGTGCAATATGCAATGATTAACCAAGAAACAACTTGAAATATGGTTAAAAAAACATGACTACCATCTCATTCGTATATATCAAAGAAAATCCATAGCTTGTAAGCTTTTCAAATCATTGTCTTGGTTAGAATTGCTAATACGTTATTTTCTATCTTGATGCTCTATATTATTTTAACACAAGATGGAAGGTCTCTTATTTAGAGGTGGGCTTTTTGGTACCGTAGAGGAACCGGGGCCTAATACGTAATACCCACCGAAAAACTTGCAAGAGACCGGGCATATATGTTATGCTGTTATGCATCTGTGTTACAAGAAAAAAAATTCAAGTATATACCTACTTCTCATTTAAATAAGCAGTTTATAGATTTAAAAAAAGATTCGCATTTGACTAATAGAGACCATGATTTATGCAGAATACTCTACATAGAGATTTAACATAAGGGTATTTAGTCATTGCATTAAAACGCTTTCTTATATTTTTAACTAGTTCTCAGGCCCAGGCTTTGGAATTGAAAATTTAAATTAATCTATATTAGATTTATTTGAACCTAAGTTAGGTTTGCCTAAATCTAGGCTGGGTTTACTTGAACCTAAGTTATGTTCAAATTAGCCGAGTTGGATTCAAGTAAACCCGGGTTGGGTTACTTGAACTCGAGCTAGGTTTAAATAAGCTTGAGCTTGGTTAATGTGAACTTGGGTTTGGTTACTTGAAACCGTAGTGGATTACTCAAAAACCTGGTTGAAGAAAAAATAACACTGTATAGGTTTACTTAAACACAAAGCAGGTTATTTGAATTTGGATTGAGTTTAAATAAACTTAAGTTAGGTTTATTTTGAATTTTAGTTCAAATAAATTAAGTTGGTTTAAATAAATTTAAGGAATGTGATAACCTAGTGAAATGGACAGGTTGTCAACTTTCAAGTAGCAGTTTTAGTGTTCAAATCTCATAGATAATGAATTTTGAAAAATTATATTTATGTTATAATAATTGTTTTTGATTAAACAATTGAGTTTAGGAATTTGTAATTTTAGATACATTAAGTTAGATCTTATTTAACAATAAAAGCTCAGAATATTTATACAAAGTGTAATATTATATATATATAAAGAAATATTAAAATTAATGTATAAAACTTTGATGCAAATTTGCAATAAGGTTATTAGATATAAAAAACTAAAAAACCAGAAAGACAAAAGTTTATTTAAAAATTCTAAGTAAAGATATAGTACAAATTTTTAATAATGCTGTTGAATTAATAAAAGTTAATAAAACATCTTTAAAGTAATAAATAAATAAATTGAACAATAAATATATAAAAAAAGCATATACATCAATCAGATTCTTAGATTCATTAGAGAAAAAAATATATAAGCATATTATATTAGGTTATCTGAATTGGTAGTCTAGAAAGTTTTGTTATTTCTAAATAATAATTAATAGAAAATAATAAAAAAAAAGACAAAAAGATTAGAATTAATATTAGAATTTATGTAAATTTTACAAGAATATAATGGTTTAATAATTAGTTTTGATTGCAAATACTAATTTAGAATGTGGGTTCCATAGCTTAATGGTTAAGCTTTTATATCTTCACAATCAAGGTTAATAGTTCAAATTCAGTTAAAGCCAAAAATCAAATGATTTTAGTCTCTTTAATCTATAAGAAGCCTGTAATTGAACATGAAACTCTGTGATCAAGTTCAAGTGCAGTACATGATGAAAAAAGAAATTTTTAGAAGAAAACTGATTTTGCAAAGTGTAGGTATTACATGTAATAGTAGCATTACAAAAAGTTCTATTATACAAAGAGTTGCACATGTAAGTTCTCTAAAGATAAGATAGTACTAACATTTTCATATTCAACTTGCAAAGTACTTGATTGGAAAAGTGATACCAAAGTAATATGAACTGGAGTAGTAAGAGAAGTAGTGCATATATAAAAGATTTGTAATAAAGGATTAGTCTTATCAAGACTAGAAGTACCTATAGTGCTGCAAAATAACTAAGAATAGAAGATAACTATTTGTATAGAGAAGTTGTAGCCTATCTTGTATATCTAAAAGTTTCAAACTAGAGCTTTAATTACATTTATATAGAAGCCTATGATAAAATAAGTGGAACATACTAATATAAGTGCTACATCAATCATAATTGAGATATCTAAATTAGAAGTAAAAACCTACTTGAACACAGTATAAACACCTTAGTTTAAATATAGATTTAAACTAAAATGTTCTTAAAAAGATAAAAAGATTGCCTATAATTAAAAACAGAACAAAGAAAAACCTGCAGCATTATGTGACAATAGTAAAAATGTTGGTCAATAACTAAAAGAGAATATGTATTCATCTTTGAAATAGAGTTCCATCTATATTATAAAAGAAAGTACTTAAGAGACAAGTTAAATGCACAATCTATTAAAAATAATATTAAGACCAAAAAGAATTATAAACCAGCAATAGTATCAAAAATCTGGCCTAAGATATATACTACTAGTATCTGTATTGAAAAGTTAGTAGTAGTAACAGAAACCTGGCTTGAGATATATGTTAAAGAGGCACCTTTTGGGCAAACCAAAGATGATAGCTTAAAAGGAACAAATGACCTGATGGACCAATTTGAGAGTTGTTAAAAATAAGTTGTAAGATATAGAAGAAATATATAGATTATCTAATATAATTAGTAGTAAAACAAAAATTCAAGTTAGATGTGAGTGAGATACAATACAAAACTTTAATAAGTTTAGATAACAGATAAATATATCCGAGTCTTATATTTAAATAAATATATAGTAATAGATGATGTATAAATAAATTTGTACTAGTAAGAATGAATATATTAATAAAAACTAAAGAGCATAATCTCATTTTAATACAAAAAAAAAAGCAAATACTAGTTTAGACTAAAATAATACTAGGTCAGTTATAAGTATATAATACAAAAGACTCTAATAAGTTTAGTACAAAGTTAAAAGTTCTTTATATAAATAAATTGTTTTAAAGATTTTATAATTATATTATATTTGCATTAGTATTAACTAGAACAGTTAGTAAAATAAATAAGTTGTAGATATAAAAACTAAAGTATTTAAATAAAAAATTTATCCCTTAATCTGTAAGCTTTTCTAGACAAATCTGTCTAGAAAATTGTTAAAAATATGTTTATGATCTACATTATTTAAATTTTAAAATATTTAAATAAAATTTTATTTAATAATATTTGAAAATAAGGATTATATTTTAGTAGTATTTAATTTTATATTATAAGAAAAAAATTTTATGCTATTTATAAGCCAAAAATAGACAAATTTAGAAAAAATTTTTAATCAAAAAAATTATTTACAAATTTTTGGCAAACTCTTTAAATATTAA